TTTACCCGCAAGAATGTCCATGATGAGATTTGCCAGCTGGGATGTAAGTTGCATCGGATCAATTTTTGATCTCATCAGTTCCCTTGCCCTTCTTACTGTGTTTGAAGTGTCAGAAGATAAAGCCAGATCCAGCAAATCAAGCAACTCATCATCAGAAACAACTCCAATCTGCACCAGCCGACCAAAAAAATCATAATTATCCAAAATGGAAAGAGATGGATGATGAGTATACGAAACAGTTTAGAGATAGACCAGCTCATAGGCCAGAGACATTGTGATTCTTCTACCAAGCAAACTCAGCTGATCAAGCATCATCTCTGCATCTCTAAGAGAGCCACTGGATTTAGAAGCAACGAAATCTAATGCAATCTGATCAAACTCAAGGCCCTCTTCAACACAAATTTTCTGCAATCTACTTGCAATATCAGCATCTTTTATCTTCAGGAAATGATACCTTTGGGACCTTGAAACTGCAACACGTGGGAGCTTATCAAGGTCAGGAGTGATCATTACAAAGACAACATGTGGAGAAAGGTTCTCCAGGCTGTTCAGAACAGCTGCCCATGTATCTCCATGCAGCAATTGGCACTCATCAACAATGAATATTTTAAACTTCGATGAAATGGGAGGAGTGACTGCATTCTTTATAAGGGACCTCAGCTTGTCTGTCCGATTGATTCTCATAGAATCCACTTCCTTAACATCCCTGCTTCTGCCAGAAAAGGACAGGAGGCATTCTCTGCACAGACCACAGGGCTTAGACTCTGCAAGTGACAGGCAGTTTAAGGCAGCAGCAAATATCCTAGATGTGGAAGTCTTGCCCGTACCGCGAGGGCCATGGAAGAGATACAGGGAAGTTATCCTTCCTCTATAAATGGCATTCAGAAGAGATCTCACTACTACATTCTGTCCAACCAATTCATTAAAAGATTTAGGCCTAAATTTCTGACTCAGACTTCTAGGACTTTCTGAATATGGGATAATGTCATTGTTAATGTGCTTCCAGCAACCCCGTCCATGAAAGGTTGTATCCCCTACATCCTCACCTAACAATGGACAGTCTTCCACATCAGAAGAAGGATTTGATTCTCTGAATTTTGGAGTTCTTGACCAGCAGTAACTTATCCCACATCCACGGTGGTTATGAGTGACAAGGTCAACTTCTTCACCGTCACAAAAGGATCTGCTGTCATTTGAAAGGGCGTGGTTTATAGATGCATGTGGACTACCCATGTGGCTTGCAACATCACCAACTGCCCCATGTATCTTCAACTGATTCTCATAGTGAGGTTTCCGCTTTAAAACAGAGTAGTCGGACCTTTCAATTGTTGAGGATCCAAGAAGTGAACCATTACATGACTCTACAACCTCCACAGGATTATCAGAAGGTGCAACACGTGTCAACACTAATCCTTTATCATTAAAATTACTGTGATATCTTTTACTGGGTGACATGTTTCTACATATTTCCTCATTTAAACCATAAGAATCTAATCCTTCAATTTGCTTTGTCTTAATAAGAGACCCCAAATTCTCGACAGCATTTGAATTCTCACACATGATCAACTTAGAATTGGATTTCTCCAAATTAGGATGCAACTCAATGCCATAACCTTGTTCCCCTCCTTTTCCATCAAATCCTAGATTCCTACAGCTTAAAAGGCCCTTAGGATCAGAAGCACCTTCTGGATCAGCATTTAGGAACTGCAAAGAGATCCCATTAGTTGAATTTGTTTCCCATTTCACATTATCAAGTAAAATGGAGAATTTGCTCATAGAATTTGTAGATGGATCCCTTAATGATCTCACTCTCCTAAGTGCTACAAGGGTTCTAGAAATAGGGATGTCAACTGAATGCCGCCTCCCATCTGCCATTCTCAAAAGGTGGAGTATATATAAATAAACAAAGCCTTTTTTCCGTACAGCAAAGTCAAACTTCAGGACCCAAGCAAAAAGTAGCCATTACCAACCTGAAACAGGAAATGGAAGAACAGATTCATCAGCAGTTGTGAAAGTATTCCATAATAGTAACATACTGAAACTGATCTTTTCCACATAATTGAAAACTCAAAAATGTTTCAGGAATGAGAAATATTTCCCGTACTGCAAAGTACAAGCTGCGTAAATCCCCTTGTTAAAGAAAAATGCAGAGAGACTCGCGATTTCGTCATAAAAATGCAGAAACCGTAAAACTAAAATCCCATTGGCTCAGAAGGAAACAAAACGCAGTATCTTTCTTCACATAAAGACGGGAAAAGATAGAGAGAGAGAGCATGAACTAGTTTGTCTCGAAAAGAAAACAAAAGAACAATGCATATGCTTTGCTTGTTACCGTCAATATAAGCAACACAGAACTACTTCCCAGAGCAAACCACTCGCATGAAGAGAAATAAACACAAAATAATCCTAACTACGGCATCACAAAGCTCGGGAAAAATAAAAAATAAAAAAGGATAGATAAGAAGGAAAGCTCTTATTAAACCGAGTAGTCTACAGAGAGAGAAGGAAAGGAATCTGCATTGTGCAAGGTATCAAACAAAGCTTTAAAAAATAACACATAAAAACAAAAAAATGCGAGACGACAAACTTGAAATTCCAAACCTGCAAATAGATATATCTCATTTCGAGGCTCAAGGAAATTTTGAATCTGAGTAACGTAAAAGTCGCGCTACATAAAACCCTAACCCCGAAGGACGGGACTGAATGGCGATCCGTTCAGGGCTTTGCATAGCATGTAGTAGAGAATACCTGGACCATCGACACACACACAAGAATAGAACGGTGGTAAGTGGCAAAGTAGTAAATGTCATTAATGAGAGGGGTGATAGTAAAGAAGATGCCATTGGCTGTGTGAAGAGAGAGGGAGAGAGAGAGAGAGAGAGAGAGAGAGAGAGAGATATTTTTGCAGGAAATTCTTGTTCGTTCTTGCAGAATGTTGCAGAGAGAGGGGTCTGTGTGTGGTCTCGGTCAGTGAGCCTAAGTAAGAGAGGGGCTTTATTGTCATTTCTCTTTCTGGCAGTTTCAGTTAGTTTGGGCTCGGAGCCAAAAGGCTGGTAACAGTTGTATGGTTCACATATTGCACTCTTATTTGTGGCGCGTATACGCACGCAGCACAAATTACGTTGAATTTATTTTTAAAATTGAATAGAATAAAAAAGTATAAATAGTCAAAAATTAATAATCTACCTGCATTGTAAATTAATTTGCATAAATCTAATTTATTTTTTATAAATACTTAAGTAAATATTAATTGAACATATTTTTATTACTTATTTATATCTTTTAGGATTAGAATATATTTTAAATTAATATATTAACTCACATTTCCGAAATTCTGTTTATTTTTGTTCATAAGTTAATTAAAAATTTATTAAAAGAATAAAATATCACATATTAATTGCAGTAATCAAGAAAATTAATGATTTTAAATTAATTGAAAAGAAAATCACTATTATTTTAATTTATAATTAATACACATGCGTATAAACTTAAATAAATCTTAAAATTATGTTAGAAACAAATTCATAATTTGCACAAAATTTATTAGTAAATTTATATTTATTTTAATTAAAAAATAATATGTTAACAAAAATGATAAAACTTGAATTTATATAAAATTAATAAAATATATTCAAAATTCATAATTTTCGTAGAAATTAGAATGTGGTCATTCTAATTCTACATGAAATTCCATTTATTGCTCAAATTTTTTTGTAACCATAATATAATTTACATATTTTTTTTAACCAAACTTATATAATTTTATAAATAAATTCATCATCATTTATAAAATTATTCCAGACATAATGGGAGTATTATAGTTAAAACATTTGATTCAAATTCTAACAATAATTTATATATATTTCTGACTAAATACATCTGTCTACCATATATATATATATAAACAATAATTTAAAGAATTTTCAATTTTCTTTTTGTTTATATATTTTTCTTTTTTCACTAGAAAATTAAGGTAGAGACAAAAGTAATGCAGGCAGGTGTATAATTTAAAGAAATAAGTGGGGCTGCAATTGGTTGGGATTTGACTAATGTTATTTTATAATAATATAATATTCTAGTGAGGAGTGAGAACACGCGCCTAAAAGGGAGTGGGGGGGTGGGGGGCCGAGAAGGAATCCGTTTGGGAGGCAGAGGAGTGGGCGTCCACTTGTGAAGAAGCACTTTTCAAAATCTTACTACAAACCAAACAGCTTTTGGTTTCACGTCTCTTGTCACGCCTCCTCTTCGCTATTTATTTTCAAGCGCCGTTGAACTGTCATTGTCACTTTCTGCCACGTGTCACTTCACAGCTCACAGCTCAAGTCAAATACATGGTTCATTTTCACCTTCTGATAAAATCCAAAACTTTTTTAAGAAACTTTAGATTAAATTATTAATTAAAAATTATTATTTCATCTTTTACTTATTATTAGATTTTTATTTTAATAATATTTTTATTTAATTTGTAAGAAAAATAAATTACATTAATTTTAATGGAAATAGTAATTTGATAGAGAATAGTTTTATAACATTAGATATATAAGATGTAATTTAATACTGATGTAAAAGTGCAAGAGTATTTTTAATATTATTCTTAATTTTTTAATTATGAATTTCAACAAAGACAAATTACTCATTAATGCTTGTGTACTAGTATGTGATATGTTGTATTTAATCTTAAAATTTTTACTGTTACAATTTGATTTATAAATTTATAGTATTATTTTGAAATGCAATTCCTAATAAAAATTTTGGCTTAATTACAAACTTGATCTTTCACCTGTAACTTTCTCGTTTTGGTTTTGTCAATTAAGTTTCTAATCTTTTATTTCTTTGAATTAATCATCCAATAAATTTGTGTGTTCAAATTTAAGTAGATAATAATTTTTTTTTTAAAAAAAATCCTAAATAAAGCTTTTTTTATAATTATAACGGCCTTTTTTTTTTCTTTCAACGGCGTAAGATAAACAATTCTATGACTCAACACGTAAATTCCATGCCAATTTAATTACACATAAAGGAAACTTGTCCACAATTCATTGTTCAAACCCAATGAAAACTTACAATTCTACATATACATCAAA